CTTGCACTTCAAATGTACGTGCGAAGGGCAAGTTTCGTGAAAAGAGTTATAAGATAAGCTAACTTGCTCTTCTAACTTCTCCTTTCGTGAATGCATCTCACAAATTCTTCTGAAATTATCCGTAACAATGCTAGATGCTATCGTCAAAAACCTGATGTATTGCCATATTTTATTTCAACTCTTGGTTCCTTGTATGTATGATTTTTAGACGGTGCATTGATGACAGTCAAATAACCATGAAAATCTGCGGTCGGGCAAAGATGTGTAGGTATGTTAGAAGCAAAATAATACTTTTACATGCTGCAGATGATAGAAGGAGAAGTGACTGAGTTTTTTTTCTGTAATCAAGAAGAATGAAAGACAAAAAAGTGTTACAATAGTCGTGCGCATAAGCAGTTACCAATGATGTAATTTACTTTTCGCACAGACGTGCAGAAGAAATTACAGAGGGAGAAAAAAAGTTTGTATTTACTTTGTAGACTAAGGATTCTTCATCCCTAAAGGCACTCGATGTATGGCCTTGCCGTCATTTTATGGAATAATATTTATTCAATTACTTTAAATCCTCAGGTTCATCTCTCTACTAGATGCTGATGCATTAGCTTCAAAAAGGAGCGAAAATCTCCATCACAAGGCATAGAAAAAATAAATAAAGCATGAAATCGGTTGACAATTTATTTAGAGTCCTAAATTCAATCAATCAAGGTTTCACATATGTCTGAATGATTGATACTCGATGTAAGGTTCTTACAATTATTGATGTATCATGAAATAAATTGATAGATTCATTAGCAACATTTTAAATTTATGACTGATTGACAAATAGTAAAAGAAGAGATCCTCGCACAATTTTGTACAAAAGATCAGCATGAAAAAAAAATTATGTATACAAGTTTTGCAGCGATGACATTATAACAGAATCAGAAAAATAACATTGCGAAGTATGAATCGTTTGACTATATCGCTTTTCAATCTTTATTTTTTTTAATGCGAAAGTTGTTGCAGTTTCAAGCCGTATTCTATCGAATGAATATGTAATGATTAAAGAGTCTTACTTTGAAAAAATCCTGATTGATATGTGTGCCACCTCAATCTAGTGTGATACCGATAAAATCTTGAGGAAACAGGTTTGGTGAATCGTGAGACAAAATGGAACCCAAAAATTACGAAGAAGAATAAAAACATGATTCTAAAGACAAAATCCATCGTAAGAGCTATCGAAAAATTAAAACTAAGCTCTGATTAGAATCGGCTTCATCATGGTATAATGGTGTCATTTGATTATTGCATCACTATGTTCGATGTCTATCGGAATAGATTTATTGATTAAATGTTGAATATCAAGAAATTTTTCTATTCCATCGTCTTGTTTCGAAGAAACATGGTCGAGATAGTAACACTAATATAAAGAAAAGATGTCGTTCGGACACCAATATCTGATTCTTGTTCGATCGATTGAGAGGCCCACGCAAGAAACTTGAGATCGTTATGATTGAATATCCATTTTTTTGGTTGCTATCAACTGGCGTTCACAGAGTTTCAAATCCAGAACAAATGAACTAGTAATATAGAAGATTAGCATTCACGAGAAGACAAAGACATGTTGAATTACAATACAACAGCAACAATATTCTTGTTGTGATATAGAAATTATAATGAATTGAACGTCCAACTTCTTTTCCCCGATGATCAAGTTGTTGACCTAAGCGAGACAAAAAGAAAGTATGAGTGGATTGATCTCTCGTTAAAACACATCCTGCATCAAAATAATTCTTACATCATTTTGCTGTAGAATACTTGAGTATATTTCTAAGTCCGTCGATACGGGCGTTCCTATAAATATCTACCATTCATTAATAATGGCTAGACAGTAGTACTAAACTAGCTATGAGATGATCAAACGTTTATTTATTGAATCGTGCGACAAAGTCTTGAATAGAGACTTTCCATATTCGATTCGAAGAATTTTCTTTTCATTGGTTACCTCTGATCCACTGGTTAGCGGAAACACTATGAGTCAGTTGGTGTTCATGTCATCAATATTTTTTTTATATTGATTCACCTTTCCTTGTCTAAATTCTTTTAATGAAGACTAAATATCCCATCAGATGACCCAAAAGACTATAAACTCGATATATGAATTTCACATAAAACTGGCATGTAGACTGATATGTCTATTAGTGCTATAATTGATCAGAAATGTGACCGTCCCTTTTGCCGAGACATTTGATTCACTTATTGACATGGAAGTATCAAACTGCTGACATGGATTAGAGATAAATCTTCTTAATAAAGTTTCAAAGATGAAAAATTCTTCTTTTGACCAACCTGTATGTACATAGCCAGATATATATAACACATCTATATCAACTTCCAGTAGTGCTTGACAGCCTTGCGAAATTCTTCTTTGTATAATTTAGATGATAAAATGAAGACTAAAAAGATAAACGTCGGTGAAATGAATCAAACGTGGAAAAGCAAGAATGACCAAGATAAATGAAGCTATAATAAGACGAGTATGTTGATGAAATTGTTCACGTAACAGCCGTTGATAGGTATAATGAGGTTGAACAATGGTTCTTTGTCTAGTATTTTCTCTCAAGATGATTAAGGCTGATATAAGATTGATGAAAATGGGATCAAAAAAGTGAAAGAGATGAATAACTGAATTGCAATGTTGAATACTAGGTGAGTAAGTTACAATACACCAAATTCGTTTATCTTCATTATCTTCATCGTCACAAAGCCGTCTATGAACAGGATCATGAATAGCTGTGCTAGTTGTCAGAACAAGAAGAGCAAGAATCACATATTTCGCTACTTTTTTGCTATTCTTCTTGTCAAATTTGTTTTTTTTTCAAAGCAGTTATTGCTCACTCGGCAGCTACAGATCCATTTAACCCTTGATCCATACTGAGACAAATACGCAAAAGAAAGTCAACTAATAAACATTGTACATATTAAAAAAAAACCGATTGGTTGCCAGCGCCATTTGTGAACTGCCAAGTATCCAAAATTTGATACCAAACAGAGTCATTGTCAGTAGAGTAGTGATGGATGATCCTATTAGATACAAACCACAACCGACTTCACGTAGTTTCTTACTCTGAAAAATGATCAAAGTGAGAACACCATTGATTAGTCTTACTATAACCATGATAACAGTCAGAACTGCTCTGATTTGTACAGCACATGGTTGCTTTAGAATGCTATGATGTAGTATAACGTGATAACCCAAAATGACATCGAGAGAAAGACCAAAACCACTAGTACTAAATTCACATCGTACTACATAGAAACAAATTGGACAGACACAAATCGATGTTTGTGAACAAGTTGGGCTATCTTGATAGCATTGAGTTCTATTTTCGCAACCACTTTGACCAAGACAATCACTTTTCATATGATGATCAAATTCGAAACAATTAGCCACACTATGTGAACCATAATCATTACATAAACAAAGATGCATATCATCATAAAAACATGATAGTTTCGATGAATATCGTTGACATGGAACAGGATAATATTTGATGCGACGAAGAAGATGTAATTTGATGATAGTTTCATTAAATAGCTCACTAATGTGTTCACAACGATCCGATGCATTGATTTCCCTAATAATCGTTGTTGATGGATAGAATGTTTTTTTGAACAACAACTAAATAATAACTTTCATTGAGAAGTCCGATAAAGACAAGATGAAATGGATGTAACCAAGAAATAATAATTGACTTTTGATGAACAGGTATTGTTTTCAAAGTAGTCGCATGTTCAGGTGAAGCATTATTGATCATTCGAATGAAATGTACAAACATGACTTGTGATCGAGGAATATCTTTGTGAAATAAGACTATGATTTTACTATCCGCTATTTCATATCTATCTCTAGAAAAACTTTTCGAACACCATACAGGTGAATTTTCTTTCAGATACAATATGTTCATCAATTGGAATGCATTGTCCACCATTGAGACATGTCGTTCTTTGATCGAGTTCACATAATGTATTTTTGAGCAAACATCGAGGACCAATTCGATTAATCGGACAAATACACAAAGATCGATTATTTGCTAAGATGCTAACAGACAAAGAATCAGATGAACACATGCATATGTGTGGAATCGTACAGTATCGACCAGACCATCCTTGTTTACATTGACCAAAACTAAATCCATCCTGATTATTTCAATAACGTACACAATGACCATGAACACAGTGTTGGTCTAAACAACTTTTTCTATAATCAATACGGTGTGGAATATTCAATTGAACGGCAAGACGATGTACAGGCAAAAGGGAAATTTCAACGGCAATAGCCAACTTCCACGATAAGCTAATGAAAACTTTTCATAGATGTCAATATGTACCGAGTAGTTTCTTAATGGTTTTTGGGCCGTGTTGAATAGAGTAGATAAATATTGAATTTGATTAGACAATCTCGCATTGGTACATAAGTGAATTGTTTATGAGAATGTACAGTTCGTTCATTGCTATCATTGATAAACATGATCACGAGAACAAATGGTGTTCGCCATGCATCAGACAAAGCTCGATATTGCATAGTGTGACTTACGCGTTGATTTTGGTATTAACACATATCACCATAGAAACTTGGTGGAAAAAGACACGTTGTTGTTGTCAAATTCTTGTCTTTGTCTAATCAGACTCGTAAACGAAAACCACAATGGTAACGTTGAATAGTTTGGCAACTAAACGAATGTTGTAGGATCATTTTTGCGTTGGAATTTATTACGTTAATAGTCGAGTTTTGATCACTACAGAATGAAAAATACACAAGCTGTTGTTTAGTTGTATCTTTTAGTCGTCCACAAAGAAATTTTTCAACGTCAGACCTCATCTGGATATAATTATCGAAACAGATACTTTCATAGATTGTGAAATCTCGACTGTTGTCACAAGATTGTTCACCATTTCCATATTCACAATTGTCATGACGATCACAGAGATATGCAGAAACTGTGCATGTCCTATAGCTGTCATTTTTGCAGTAAAAAATTGTTATCAGAAGGTAAATAATGATTTTCTCGGCAAAATTTAGGTTCGTCAATGGCACCAAAACAATCTATTTTACCATCATTGGCTTTTTCGATTGATAGATATGTAAGTCGTTTCGTTTCAGTTGATAAACAAATGTGATGATGAAGAGAACAAGCTAATAATGATAATGAATCACAATCAATTTCATCGGCTCTATAAAGACAATTCCAGAAATCATCACAACGTGTATATGTATTATTATATTGCCATTGTTCACATTCTGTTTCATTTAGTCCATTAATAGTTATTGGTATCAATTCAGTATAACCATCGCATATTGTCTGAAATAAGATATGAGTTTGAGCATAGTGAACATCACAAAATTCATCATCAGATAATCCATTATCATATTCATTACAATGACATGTGCCATCGTTGACAAGTCGATAAGAAATACATTGATTTGTTTTTATACATGTGAAATATTTTTTGAATCGTTCTGATAAACAAGTATTATTGTTCACATTCAATTGTTCATCATCATGATAAAAACAATCTATAATGCCATCATTTAGACGATTTTGAGAGATGCATTTGTATGAGTTCATACACTGGTACATGGTTGATCTATTGCAAAGTGCAGTATTATTAGTTACTATTTCATAGTATGTATGAAACAATGTAAATAATGGTGTGATATATAGATGAATCCATGTTTCTCTTCCTTGCCAAAAATGTAATCCACAATCTTCAGGGCGATAATATATAGTATTGTTAAACATGATATATTGATATATCACAAATTAGTGATTATAGAGTTGACCATTGAAACAGATATATTGAGGTTTATCTGCTGAAAAAAAAACCGTGAACTGTGCGTCCTTGTTTGTATATACAAAGTAAGCTTGATTAAACAAAATTGGCATTGGTGGCAAATAAAGCATATCTGGACAAGTATTTTTAATGATTTCATCACATGCTGTGTCTTGATATAGTGAAAAACATCCATCATTGATCCATTTATCTTGAATATGAAGAGCACAGCTGACATATTGAATCTGGCTTGTTCAGAAACATTGCCTTTAAGAGTAACTCACTACTTTGTTTCACACATGAGCTCGTCAAAGGACTTGTATAATATTGCGGATTGATCTTACATACAACGTCTTCGCATGCAAATGTTGGTTCACTTTTATCACAATTGTCACGTTTATCTTGAAACTTCGTCAAATGCATCAAGACAATCAGGAAAAAGAGAATCATCACGAAAGAATGCATAAGGTATACATTGCCCAATGCTACATCGATATTCATCATTTCCACAATCATTGATTTCAAGATGCCAACAGTATTCTTCATCATGTCCTCCATCAATACAATCAATTTTTTCATCACAAATTTCACTTCAGTCGAGACAAGATAGAGCCGAACCAAGATTACATTGTAAATGGACGTAACATGTAAATGTAGTTGGTTCATATTTATGCGAATACAATTGATAAATTATTTCATTCAATGATGATTGATAAGGATCATAATCATCGATTGAATATTGACACATAGGACCAAACTGTGACAATGTGCAATTATAGAAGAGCTGTGTACTCATTGATGTTTCATTCGAAATTAAAAGTTGATTCAAATAGGACTGGTATCTCGCTCAACAATACCCATTGGTGCCGACAAGATATATAACTGTTGACTAGTGATCTCTAGTTGATTAAGCTCGGCAAAGGTAAAAATTTGATCAAAATTATTCTTGTATATAGCCCATCTTAATGGCCATTCACCCATATAATATGAAATGATTTGACGAGCATTTTTCTCATCGTTAATAGAGGTAGCAACGTACAGACAATTGTGCTGTAGTGTAACGTCATTCATGTTGTCCATGGTCCAATCTGTCAGATAAAGATTAATTTGGGACGAGCTAAATAGTATGAGGGAACCAAGAATATGAAATAAAGTTGACGGCTCAGAAGTAACATCATTGATCATTCTCTCTAAATGTTAAAGACAAATGCAAGCAGAATATGTCAACGATTCTTATTCATCGGATTGACGCAAATCACACTTGTTTTTTATTCAAAAGAAATTAATCCAATGTGTTCTTCGTTATCAAATCGAATGACAAATGTTAAATCAATTCATTTATTCCTGTATCCTGTTTAAAATATTTTAAACTGTTGTAAATTATTAAACTGATTCATAGCTCACATTCGGTAGTAACTGAGCTCTGAATTTATTCTTATCAAAAAAGAATAAACACATGATATTTGTATTTGTGTTCTGATGTCCTTTTATTACCATGATTCAGTTTGACGTATGATTATTCGGAACAATGAATGCCAAAATAGCAAAATAGACTTGTATCTACAATTCTAATTTGTTCTTTATCAACAGCCAAGTTAGATGCATTTACATTGAGATATGCCCAAGTTATTCTAAAATTAATGAACATTGATGCTGAATTTTTAGTCGAATTTAAAATATTGTTTGCTTGAACGAAATCAATTAACTGTAACTTATATGGTTGCTTCCTAATTCTAGATCTTTCGAAGATAATATAACATGTTCCTTTTCAGACATATGCGCGTTAAACTTTGGAACCTTCGAGGAAGTAAAAAAGAAATACTTCTTTTGAATAGTTTTCTCTTGTGAGCTTTTTAAAGTGAAAAATAGAGATAATGCGTATATATTCTTGAGTCATTTATTAACACGACTACATAGAAAATGCACCATGTGTTTTTTATTTATTTGTTATGCTATGAACTGCAGTTCTGAGTAGCGTTACATGTTCGTTTAAGATAGACTTCATGAAAAAACTACATGAAAATTCTAATACCCAATAGAAGCAAAGCTTTTCATTTCAATTTTGACTATTTGCTCCAAAAAAATTGTTCAGTTTTACTGATAAATCTTAGTTTGCATTGATTTATGTTAATGCGGGTTTTAGTTACATCACACTGTCATGAAATAACAGTACAAATCAATCTCAATAAAAGCAAGGTGCTATATGAGTTTGATGCATTTCGTATGTAGTTGTGTTTTAGTGAAATCCCTTCAAAAAAAACACAGAAAATTATCTAATCATTTGCTATTGAGAGAGTTACAAATTCCAATATGTGTATTGATATATCCTAGATTTCTATAGATAAATTTTAACAAGAAATTTTAGAACAGCTATAGACTCTATATTTATAAATATATTTGATGATTTGAAGCTGAATCTATAAATGACAAATGAGGAAATCAATTATTTACACGTTTGTAAACAATCAAATCTGAATAACAACCTTTTTGAAATTACAACTTGAGGTAGTCATTTCCGATCTATAATTCCTAATGATCAATTCGAACAAAACAATGAGTTTTTGAATGTGCAGAAAAAACAAAAACTATAGAATTCTAATCCATAGTTGAATGCACATGTCTCGTGCGTTTGCAACCTTTATTACGTGTCTATTAAAGTCAACTATTCTTGTGTTTCCAGTTGTCCATAAACAATATTTTAGTTTTCAAGATACCATTTGGCATCGTTTCAGGAAAGCTATGGTTTCTCGATCGAAAGACAATGAAGTGCTGCACGAAGTATTGAATTTCTTCTGCAATTTATTGGCTATGAGAAGAATTTTACAAGTATAAAATTAACAACGTTAAACAAAGTACTGTCTACTATTCTACTATTTTCGAAGGTATCATACTTTGGAATAGTTATCATACAAAAAAAGCCTTAGATTAGACGAGATTAAAAAAAACTACATGCAGAATTTAGAGAATATAAAAATAAATAATGTAGCAAATGGTTTTGTGTACGAGAGCTAATCCTGTTGTCATAATGGAAAAGAACTTGTATCTTAGCTATGAAAGTTATTTTTAATATCCAATTCAATTCAATTAACAAGAAAACTTAAATATAGAGAAATCAAATACGAAAACGAACAGAAATTTGAAATTATGAGTAAAACTATTAAGACATCGTAAGATGTTAATGAACAGGAATGAGGGTGTGGGTGTGGGTGTGGGTGGATGTGAGTGTAGGTGAAGATAAAAGTGTTATGCACATTCACACTCTTCATTAGATCTCTTATCGTTTCTATTTTCATTGGTTGACAAAGTTGCTAAAAGCCACTGTAAAACTATAAAAGTCTGGAGAAAATTATCTATCAGAAGCAATACTTGAAAAATCAGAAATCTCTTATCCAAATGACAAGATTGAGTTATTTAGTGCCACATATGATAGAAGCCTAGAAACTTATTGTATATCTTGAATAGTGACCTGTCTGAAGAAAATTTTTATAGAGTGTGAGAGGTTTCTATCATGAAAATCAAGATACAAATGCATTAATTATAGAAAGTACAAATGCACCTGAATGCTATTTTTTGCCTCGTTTGATTACGCAAACACTGAGGACACGACCTCTACTGTAGGCTAGAGCCTTTATCATCGTGTTTATCAACCACCCTATTATGTTATTGAAATAGATATGGGAAATATATCAGGTGGTTTCTTAAATGTTGTGCTGCATATGCATGGATAAAAAAACCAATCGATCAATATTCTCATAGTTATTTCGTGAATTGATTCTGTTTTGCAATGCATCCTACAGCAGGTAATCGAATTTAAAATTTTTTTCATTTTGATTTTATATTTTGTTGTGAATAATGCCAAATAATCACGGAAATAAATATTACAGTTATCAGATATTTTTGAATGTTAAAAATGAGGCAAAATATTCAGTTTGCGTTAATTTTTTTCGCTAAATAGAGATTCTTTGATTTCATTGACATTGGCTGTTTCGTGTATTCCGTAGTAAAAGTATATTGAAACACGTATAGTCTCTAGCATGTATACAATGGATATCAGTCATCAATCAATTTCTTGAACGTGTTGCACAACTAGCTGAGTATAGTTTTTAAATTTTATGCAAAAATCCATTGGACAGTTCATACTTAAATTGAAATAGAACCAAGAGAAACCATTCCTTATTTTCGAATTTCATTACTTAGCATGAATTTCTTTCGTATTAAGGTATGCACTGTGCTTTGCTATTCTTGTGCATTCTTCTGATTGATGCTCGAATTGTACCGCAACACAATCTGGATAATCAACTACGCATAGATGATGTTGTGAATAATGCCATTGTTCCTATTAAAGGTGCCACAAACAAAGGCTGGGATGATTGGGAGGATTGGGGCGATTCATCAGTAGGGACTCTAGAGCCAGGTACTACTGTTTGCTATCCAGTTGTTGGATGTTTCGACAATAATCCACCATTTGACAATGCTGGCTTAGCAGTACCTCAAGATCCAACAGTGGTCAATACCCATTTTCTTCTCTTCACAAATAGTGCACCAACAAAATCAGAATTTCTTCAATATAATAAGAATGATAGCTCGATTACTAACTCAAGATTCAGCAATACGAAATGGTTAAGAATTATCGTACATGGATTTACTAATAATCGAAATAGTCTTTGGATTCCACGATTGACCGAAGAGTTGCTCAAATTGAAAGATGTAAGAAGAAAAAGATACTATAGAATATGTTTTAGTAACCATGGTAGAAATTTTTCAGGGCGAAGCATCCGATGTGCTTGTTGTTGAT